CCCTCTTTAGACGTCACCTGTGGAGGTGTCTCCCAGAATTGATGCCAGGCTTAGAAGTGGGTGATGAGAAATTTGGGTAAGAGATGCTTGAAAATCTTAATTGTATGCGTTTGTGATTGATGGCCCTAATCAAGCCTGTCCTTCCCTCAGGGGCAAATACAGAACTGCTCCTTTCAGGATGGTTTCTTTAATCTTTATCTAGATAGGTTTTAAATGTCCATCACTCTTTTTGGGAAACAATTCTGTTTTATGACTTGCTGTAGCTTCCTAAGGAGCCACTACAGTGATTAACTCAAACTTCAAATGCAGGACTTCTAGCATTATTGATACAGCATCTCTTTTATGTTTTATATCTTTGCCTGAATGTATTGTATTTCCCAGTTTCACCGAAGAGTGGTTTAAAAGTATTTTTAACAATACAGCATTGTTATGAGAATGAGCTGACTACCCAGTCTGATAGCAGGAATTTGCTCTGAGTCAACAGTGGTAATTTACAAGCATTGACTAACAAATTCCATAATCCACACAACACCTCTGTGAATAAGGGAAGAAAGCTCCATTATCTCTAGTATGCATCAAGGATTAAAATGAGTGGGACAGCTGCTGTGTAAGAGTCTGAACGGATACTGAATACAGTTGGGAATTCCTGGTGCTTGCTTCTCTATTTGGCAAAACCACCTCACATTTCTGTACTGATATCTCTCAGGGACTTGTTGAGCCTACAATAGCAGTGGGGTTCTTGTTTTGTTTTATTGTGGTTTTTGTTTTTTGATAGCGAGTATGAATGCAGTAGGCCTTTACAGCCTCCAACTGTAAAAATTTCAGTGAAACAACAGAAGCAGATTTGTTTTCTTCCTTCTTTGATTGGACTGTAGAAAGATTTTGCCTGAACCATTATTATCATATTATTCTGTAAAACAAATCAGGAATCATGCAAAGGTGGAGGAAAGAGTTATCTTATTCTAGCTTTCCCTTTGAAATCATACTACAAATCCAGCTAATCCTCTATGGGGAGAGTGCTCTGGCCCTTGTTCCTGTCTCCCCTCCTTTAGCTTGTCATACAACGCTACTGCATGGGTATATTCTCATACAAGGTGCCTTTAGGCAACAGCTTTTTTCCCTGTGTACATTTTGGCACCTCAAGTGTTTTCTCATGGGTTTTCCAGGCCCCCCACTGCTCTACAGCCTGTGTTATTGGCACTGAGCAGTATTCACAAATTACCCATCTTCTTTTCCTTCAGAATGTCACATTGTTTTTGTTCTAACACACTGATGTATCTGCTCACAAAAATTAGATTCCCTAAAGAAAATTAAAAAAAACCAACACAGTGACCCCTGAACACCACTTTGCAATACAGTGATACATGTACAGCTGAGATGTCTGTTGGGCTGCATGGAGCCAGAACGATAGAACACCGAGGTTGGAAAAGACCTCCAAGATCATCCACTCCAACTGTCCACCTACCACCGCCACTTCCCCACTAAACCATGTCCCTCAGTACCACATCCAAATGCTTATTGAACACTTTCAAGGATGGTGACTCCACCACTTCCCTGGGCAGCCTGTCCCAGCACCTGGCCACTCTTTTGGAGAATAAATTTTTCCTAATATCCAACGTGAACCTCCCCTGCTGTGACTTGGGGCCATTCCCTCTTGCCCTGTCCCCAGTTACATGTGAGAAGAGACTGACACTCCTGGTCACAACCTCCTCTCAGGTAGTTACAGAGAGCAGTAACATCTCCCCTGAGCCTCCTCTTCTCCAGACTGAACAATCCCAGTTCCCTCAGCCACTCCTCATACAACCTGTGCTCCAGATCCCTCACCAGCCCCACTGCCCTTCTCTGAACATGCTCCAGAGCCTTGATGTCTTTTGTGTAGTGAAGGGCCCAAAACTGAACATAATTTTCAAGTGTAGCCTCATCAGAGCTGAGTACATGTGGACAACCACCTGCCTGGTCCTGCTGGCTATATTATTTCTTATATAAGCCAGGATGCCATTGGCCTTCTTGGCTACCTGGGCACGCTGCTGGCTCATGTTCAACCGAGCATTGACCGCACTCCCAGGTCTATTTTGTTCATACAGGGAAGGCAAGACATCTGGCTTCTGCTTGGTATAATTTGTATGGAATGTGAGAAGGGGTTTTAGTTTTAATGTGCTCAGCCTAGGGTCACATTTGCTGCAGGTTGGATGGCTAAAGCACATTTCAGCAAGCAGCATGTTTTGATTTCACTTGTCAGGGCTTTTGGTTGCCCCATGTTGGCAGGCAATGTGAGATTTCATACCTGTTCTGTGTTGAATTTCCTTCAGAGATCACCTGCAGCCTAGAAGGGTGGATTCAGTGATCCGCAGACATAGCACCACTGCTGAGTCCTTGGCTTGCTAGCAGTGGTGCTGCCTGATGTGCTGTCCTTTTGCAATATCTCAGTGAATTTCAACATCAAGCTGCAGATTTCAAGTGAGGGCCTGGATCTTGCCAGCTAACTCATGTGTTGGCTGCTGCAGAACACTGCTTTTTTGTTTCTTTCTGTAATACACGAGTTGAAAACCTCTACTCTGATTTGCAAGGAAATTCACTTGAAATCATCAAACTCTCTTTGCATACTGCCCTCCTATTGTCAGACAGCTGTCAGCGATGACAATTCTGGTAGATTTAAAGCAGTGGTTTGAGCAGGTGGCTAGTTTGCACGAACTCGCACCAAAATAAGTCTCATTGGTTACAGTTCTGACTGATGGTAGTGTTGCTGTAGGTGAGTGTGTGCAAACAGTCCTACCATTGAGACCATTATTGCGAGAACCAGAACAGTGCAGTGGGTCAGACAAGAACACGTCTCCCTTGTATCAGCCATCATAGGAACTCCTAGAAACAGTTCCTGCAGTGAAAAGCTTACATCTAAACAGAGCTGTTTTTTTAAAATTTAGTTTCGAAATCTTTTTTTTTTTTTTAATGCCTTTCTCCCTTCCCTTCCCTTCCCTTCCCTTCCCTTCCCTTCCCTTCCCTTCCCTTCCCTTCCCTTCCCCTCTCTCTTTTCTTAATAGGAGATCCACACAAATTTACAGGTATGGGTAGATCTGATTTAATTTGTGCAAACACATGTGTCAATCACCCCTCACAGTATACAGTATACAAAGCTTTGTGGGAGCTGCTTGTAATAGTTAGCACACAGTGGCTGGTTGGTTTAAGTTCAGGAAGAAACCAAGGCTTTTAGATATGGACAAACTGAACTTCTACAAAAGAGATTTTTGTCTTCCTGTTGGTTGTATCATTCCTGTTATTAAATGAGTCTTTCTGCTAGCTTTAGCCAAATTCTGCAATTCTGTGCATCACTCTAGAAACTGGTATTTAGAAGCACTCTGGCAACTTCCTAGCTTTTTCTAGATAATTTTGATGCTGACATTCAACAAAAGTATTCACAGAGTTTGCTAGTATTGATAGGTTACAAAATCCTTCCCCGCTGAAAGTGTTTAACTAGCAATTCTGCTGTCAGATGCAAGCCGATTTCAACACAACGGCTTTACAGCAACAGTCACGATGGACACGCTCAGAATTGTGCACCATGCAGTCAGGAGTTGTTTCTAACAGCCGCCAACACAAAAGGCTGGACAGCAAAAGCTCCCAACCCTTCCAGTCGCAGCTCGCCTCTCCACTTTGTAACTGTGACTCCCGATGTGAACCTAAGTTTCAATGGGAGTTTTCTCCAGGGCAGGTGATGGCTCTGCTGGAAACGCACCCCTGCCTTTCCCATTAGCAATGAGTTTCAACCTTTAAGATTCAGATTTCCTCTGACTGTTGTGCTGAAGCAGCCCAGTATGTTTCTCCTCAAATCCTGACCTGGGCTGGGCCTAGCACGATGCATCCCAACGTTTGGTAACACATGCGTGTATTACATGAAATATACATGTTATTGGTCGTGGCGTGGTGGTTCAGTTCAGGAAAATGGGAGCAAGATCCACAGCCTGAGACTTCCTTGGCCTTTGGATTGTCGGGTCATCGCCCAGCCCTGAGGCAGGGCCGCCCCCACCCTGGAGCCTGCCCCGGGGCTATCTATCGTGATTGAACACAACAAAACCCCTTTTTCTTCCCTTTTCCAACAGCCTTTTCCTCAGGGCGGAGGGCTGCCCTCCGGGGGCGCGCAGGTGTGCCCACACACCTCCGCCCTTCCCTGGGCAGTTTCCTCAGGGTCGCACCGCCCTCCCCGGCCCCTCTGAGAACGGGGGAGGGGCGCGGCGACCGCGCTGCTTGCGCGGGAAGAGGCGCGCGCGGCCGCCAACGCCGCTGCCGCCGCTGCCCTCGGCGGCTCCGCGGCCATTGACGTCAGGGAGGGCGGCACGTGACCTCGCCGGAGCCAATCGGCTGCGCCCGGAGCGGCTTCGGCGAGAGAGGCAGTGGGCAGCGCTCTCTCCTCTCACCGCCTCCTCCCGCGGTGGCGGCGCGCGCGGGGACACCACACACACACAGAGACACGCACACACACACACACACAGAGATATACACACAGAAACCCGCCCGCCCGCGCCACACACACACACACGGACAGACACACACACACACACTCACATACACGCGCCCGCGCCCCGGCCACGCGCGGGCACCCACGCACCCACCTACATGCACACGCGCGCCCGCCGCCGCCCGCTGTCGCGCACACGCCCCGGGGGGAAGGAAGGAGCCGCGGCCGGCCACCCCACAGCCCCGCGCCGAGCCCCCGCCGCCGCCTTTTGTCTGCAGCCCCCGCCGGGAGCCGGGCGTGGATGTGGCGCTGCGGGAGCGGCGCGGGGCCCCGCCGCGGGGCGGAGGGGGAAGTTTGAATTCGGCTTCTGATCGCTTCCCTTGAACCCCGCTCCCTCGCCCTCTCCGGCGGCTTTGTGTTTTTTTTTTTTTTTTTTTAATTATTATTATTTTCCTCCTCCTCGATTTAAATTTTTGAGCCCGCCGCGTGGGGTCGGATCTCCTTTCTTTTCCTCTCCCCGCCTCCGCCCGCCGCCATCCCCTCAGCCGCGATGGATCGCAGCGGCGGCGGCGGCGGCGGCTCCGGCGACCGCGGGCAGCGCGCAGAGGACGGCAGGGCGCTCCCCGCAGAACCGCCGCCGGGCCCCGAGGGCACCCGCCCCGCAGCCGCGCCGTGCCGCCGGGCCCTGCTGCACTGCAACGGCATGAGGTACAAACTGCTGCAGGAGGGGGACATCCAGGTGTGCGTCATCCGGCACCCCCGGACGTTTCTCAGCAAGATCCTCACCTCCAAGTTCCTGCGGCGGTGGGAGCCGCACCACTTGACCCTGGCGGACGGCGCCGTCGCTTCGGCCACGGTGAGTGGAGCGGGGGACGCGGCGTTTGGGGGTGAAAACGCGAGGTCGTGGCACCGCGCCGCTCTTCGGTCGTTAATTCGGGCTTCGCCGCGCCCCCCGCGCCCCCCGGCGATCAATGGGCCCAGGGCGGCGCGCGGGCGCGGCGCGGGAGCGCGCTCCGGAGCTCCGCGTGCGGCTCCGCGTCGGTGGGGATCGGAGCCCCCGATTCGGGCTGACGGCCCTGGGCGCAGCGCGCAGCTTTACGCGGCTTCTGACCGGGCGACGCTGCCGTCGTGCCCCCCTCCTCCCTTTTTATTTATCTCTTTTTCCTTTTTTTTTTTTTTCATCACATGTGAATGCTTCATTTTTTCTCAATGATTTCCTTCTGGCCTTCCTATAGGACACTCATGATATCAGTGTGCATTGGCTTTTGTGTGGGTTCCCAGGGAGGGTGAATGGAGATGGGCTTCATCTAGAGGTTGGATTTTTTCACGTCAATAAGCAATCCCTCTGCATCTCTCAGAATCACAGAATCACACATTCTGCAAACGCTTGTCCCTTCTGCATCGCCCTGCAAATTACGCATCCTTTTTGCATTGCTTTGCAAATACAGATTCCTTCTGCATCGCTCTGTAAACGCGTGTTCCTTCTGCATCACCCTGCACATACGCTTCCCCTCCTGCATTGCACTTCAAATAGATGTTCCTTCTGCATCACCCTACTGATACATATCCTCCTGCACCTCCATGCAAATAAACGTCCCTCCTTCATCACCCTACAAATACCCATCCATCCTGCACGGCCCTGCAGACAGGTGTCCCGCCGTGCCATGCCCTCAGGTAGGCCAGCTGCCTGTTCTCACGACACTCCTCGTGCCACACTGACACCTCCGTACCGCCTGCACTGCTGAGGGTGTTTGCAGGGGAATGTGGTTCTTTGCTCGGTGGAAGTGCTGTGTGAAGGAGAAGGAAGCCTTGGGCGAGTGTTGCAGGGGGAAGGCCCCAAAGGACGTGGGCATGAGTAGCTTTTTTTTTTTTGCAGTTCCTTGTTTTAAGGAGATTCTGTCAGCACAGGGGGAAGTTGGATGTGATGGGGATAAGGTGATTTCCCAGCAGCATCCCCAGCTGGTGGTTGTCTGAGCACAGAAGGATGTTGGTGAAGAAGTGTTATGGTGCTCCAGCACAAATCTCTGTGGTGTAGCAATACTTAGGCATGAAGTTGTGTTCGTACAGGAGACGCCAAGCTCTGCTCGCTGGCAGAGCTGCCACCCAAGAAATCATCCCCCAAAAGATTTCTCAAGTCCTGCAGGGTGGTGCTTTAATTAATGCGATGGCATTCCTAACTGTTGTAGGCACAGAAGGAGCAAGTAGATAGCAAAGCATTGCATGTACCATTTCAGGCTCCATTTTGTTGAGCAGGGCTCTCAGTGCTTGGTATTATGCCTTATCAATTTTTTTTCCAGTGCTGGGTCTGAGTAAGTGCTGTGGTTCACAGGGATATCTGTGCTTTGATATTTGAAATGCTGTCTGTTTTTTGTAAGAAGTAACTGGGGGACTGGGGTGTGATTTGTTCACTTGTTACCTGGACATGTACACGGTGTGCTCAGCAGGTGTCTTGGTTCCACGTTATCTCCATCTTCCTCTTTTTTGAAGATGAAAAGATGTGACTTAACCAAAACATGTGGTCTCCCTGCGGAAATGGGGGACGGGCACAAGGCCAGAACCTCCTGGAGACGTTTGTAGATATCGAGATGCAATTGATTTGGTTTTAGAAGGCTGAGGAAAAATATCCATCCCTTCCATTGACGGTGAGCACTGGGAGTGCTCAGCAGCTCTGATAGCAAGGTCATTTTTACACATAGGGCTTTCCATAGCCAAGGTGCTTTATGAGCAGCTGCTAATTAATCTTCACATCGTCTCTCTGCAAATCCTCTGGCACGACGAGTTTTACTGCATTCTCTATAACATGAATAAAATCGAACAGGAAAATAACATCACTTTGTTTTGCATTTGAAAGCTAAAGTGGTGATGACACCTAAATCCAGATCTGGGAGATGGTGTCTGTGAGAATGGTGGATGGGTGATTGGGTGATTCCAGGCATTTTCTGTCCTTTTCAATGTCACCTGAAACGTGTGTTTGAATGGAGGTCTTCTCCACGCAGACTCCTACATGTTAGTTTGGGGGCTGTGGAGCAGGAGCTGGTGTGTGTATGGTTGTTCTGCAGCTTTTTCTGGTCTACACAGTATGTTCCCACATCTCAACATGAATACTGAGACCCTACCTACAGCTTTTTTGCAAGAGATGGCTGCTTCCTGGCCTCGATTCAGCAGTGATGTGTTTTGTGCCTGATAGAATAGCATTCTTTAAAGGAAGCTCCATGCAAGAATGCAGTGGAACAAGTGTTTGGGGCATCACATTTTAGCAAAGTGTAGAGAGGAAAAATGAATTTACTTTACAAAATGTTTTTTCTGACATGATCACAAGTGTCTTTCAACTAAAATAAGCCAATGCTCATGTAAGAGCAGTACTGACAGTGGAGTTCTGAATTGTTAGGGGGCTCAGTTACATGGAAACAGATGAGCTTGTGAAGTTCCACAGTGGAGGTGTTGGTGCTTGATGTGATTTACATGCTTTCCTTCGGGTTTCTCATTTCTCAAAGAACCGGTTACTAAAAAGCAATGCAGTTTCACCAGTAGCCTTCCATGCTGCCCAGGCTTTCATTCCTACGCTGGTTAGGATATTTCTCAGTGTAGGTAAAAACAAATCTACATTGCTTTGTTTTATTTTATTTTATTTCCTAAATTTAATGCCAAAGGCCCAGCAGGAAACTTTGATACTTACAAACTTTATATGCTTGCTTAGGGATGAATCTGACTTTCTTCTCCATGGGAGGAATAACGTTTATTTTATAAACACTTCCCAAACCCCAAAGTGTTGCCCTTGCTAATTTTTTTTTTTCACAAAGATCTGTCCTTGCGCAGCTTGAAGGGCAACGATAATAAAAACAAAGGAATAAAATCCAATTTAATATTCCTTCTGTGACTTCTGTTGTTGTTGTTGTTGAAGAACAAACTACTGCTATCTTCAGCAGCGATGTTAAAATTTAATGTTCAGTAGTTAAAGGTGGCAGGTGAACCTGAACTTTTGACATCCTTCTGTCCTGTCCCTTTCATGCCTCTCTTCTGCTTTTTCTTGCCCCAGCAGGGCAAGGTGTTGAGGACAGTGGGTTTTAAGGTTCTGGATTGGCAGGAGGCCCTGTGGTGTGTATGTACGTGCAGCAGATGAGGAAGGAATAAATAAGCAATTCACTTCTGCTGGCTAGGGATGACCTCTCTAATTCCCATCTGGGAAGATAAGACATAATTAAAACCATGAAGTTACTCATTAATTTCCCTCAAGGAGGAGGAAACTTTGGCTTTTCATGCTCATTTCAGATTTCCAAGTTCGCCCCTGGCAGGTAAGTTCAGTGTTATGTTCAAAGCTGGTGGCAAACCTGAAAAGATTGGAGTGCCTCTTATATTATTTCCAGGGCAGAGATGATCTATGAGAACAATGGTTTATTGACACGATAGCTAATGGGAAACGTACTTGACACGAAAACGTGAGTTAGGGAGCTGCATTTAATGTTTTCTTCTAGAGAAAAGAACATACACAATTAATATTAAATGAGGCAGGGCAGGATGATCTGTTTCAAATAGGAGAAGTGGAGTAGAAAATTGTCTTCTAATTGTTTTTTAAAATTCAACGATTTTGCTGCTGCATGTGTTTCAGCCTGCTGTTACATGGCTTTCCTTCCTTCTGTTATAAAGATAGAGCAAAAATTCCTATCAGGCCAGACTCATTGTTTACTTTAGTGCAGGTTCCCATTAGTTAGGAAAACACGCTTTTTAAAATCAAATTTCCCTTGAAAAACAATTAGCTCAAGTGGGAAGCATTATGCAGAACTCTAAAGTTTCAAAACAATCTTATAAGGAGAATTCTTCTAAGTCTTTCCTGGAAAGGGAATGTCATACCATTATCCAGGCTGAAAACAGAATGATAATGAATTAGCTGGAGGAATAATAAAAGAAGTAAACGCTGTGTTCAGTAAACCAAGTGCTGACCTCAGTCATGAGCTATCGATGAGGCTCTAAGAATGTGACTTAAAATGAGCCTGATGAGCCTGCCATCATTATGCACGAAGCAAATATGAGTGCATAAATAACGAAGCAACTTCTTTGCAATCCAGCATAGCAATGGAATGTTAATTTACGTTCTGAGATAATATTTAGCATTGTTTCTTACTGGTGGTGATTGTTTGCATTCAGCAAGTGGTAGCTGTAGGTTGGGGTCTGTGTGTTTCTGCCCATTGAGGTTTACCCCGTTGCCATTGATCAGGTATTTTCTCCAGGCTTATCAGGAAAAGCACTGAATCTTTTTATTTGCATGCCACAGGGATCACTCAGAATTCTCTGCATATTGAGGGCAAATTGCTCCCTGTTATCTGTGCTGCTGAAAGCGAGAATCTGTGTGGTAAAGGCAGGCACGTGGCTGCATTACCAAACCCCACATTTCTCTTGGTGACTTATGGGGTCTTACTCTGCTGTGAGAAATTCACTTTACTCAGTCCTCAGATAGGCATAAGAAAACCTAAAATGGTATTTCTTCAAAGTTGTTTAGTGCCTGTCAAACACTCCTTTGAATATGTAGTTCCTACAGTGGTTAAAAAGCGTATTTACATGTCAGTAGTGTTAAGGTATGCGTTAATATGTTACAGAACTTGTATAAAATATGAAAACAGAAGCTACATTCATTGATAGAGTGAGAGCTCTTGAGGCTGTTAGTGTTAATACACAGCCAGTAAATTTTAGGTGTTTAGGAGCATAAGTAGAAGGGATACTCAGGAATACTTCTGCCTCACTTTTCTTTATGGCTGGGGAGCAAAGATGTGGTGCTCAGCACCGTGTGGGGTAACGGTGCCCTGCAGGAGCTGCTCTGGTACTCACTGGGGACCTCATCCTGCATCTGCAGGGACTGGCAGA